GTTTTCGGAATGGACTGTAAGATTAGGTGCAAGATTGTACCAACACCAAGGTCCAAAATCCATCAACTCTCTTACGTGCAAGTGGGAGATGACGAGGATTCTCAAGTCTTGGCTGTCTCCACGGAGGATGGAAGAATCTTGTTTTATTCCACAAATCCCGGAGACTTAGAAACTGCAGAAGCTGCCGAAGGCAAACCACAACCAATACCAGCCGCTAAGCTATTTGCACAGCTTGGTGGAAAAGATAGCGGAGTGACTGGACGTATCAAGGATTTTACCGTCTTGAACATTGGGGAAGGTTCTTCCAGAGACATTCTGATTGTGGCAGCAAGCAGTGATGGCGCTGTCAGACTATACAAATTATCTGCAGCCAAGGATTTGGCGCAAGTTGGGGAGAAAGTAAACCAGGTCGGAAAACTTATTGGTACATACGAGACTGGAAATCGCGTTACATGTTTGAAAGCGTTTGTTATGTTACCAACTCCTGAAGGTGCAGAAGATGAAGAATTTGAGATAAATGAGGAGGACGAGGAGAGCGCGGATAGTAGTAGTGATGATAGCGAATAAGATACCCTCTGATGAAGGATTTCCATCGATTTTGAGTTTGGTTGCATAATGCTGAGTCTTATTTGTGGTTGAGTGATTTGAGAATTTCTCCAAGTGTGAAGGAAGGAAAGCAACTTTGTCAATGAGCCTCTGGTTTGGGATGAGTCACCTGACAAGTAGAACATGCCCGTCAAAATTGAAGATGAAATCTGGTGAGATGAATCATACATTGCTATTCTTAATTATCAAAACGTTGAAGGAAGAAAGAATCATTTTCTTGAATAAGCGACGTCTCCTGGCATTTCAATAAGAGAAATAGTTTCTGAAATCCCATACCACCACGTATCATTCCCAGAACGTATCCAATTCTTGTCATTCAAACTCGCTCAGCTAGAAGCCTACCCTATCTATCCCGTGCCTCTACCAGTATTGTCATCGTTTTGAATTTTCATTGTGTATCCATTTCGAAAGATTTCTTTGTTCTACTAGGTTAACATGAGTTTGAGTCTAGATCCTTCGCAGTGGTATTCATGAGATTTGGACTACTAGGTTTGGGAAGAAGAGGTAGTAGAGACGTATCATGGCTACATTTTTATGCAGTCTTAAGGAATACTCTTACTTTTTTCCCTTCATAGAGCAGTATGTCATTTTACGGATCTGTGCTCATCGAATACGTTTTGTGTCATCATAAATTGTCGGATATAAAGTTTCATGCACTTTCAGAGCCTCGGATGTTTGTGTCGAGTCTTGAGTAGCTGGCAGTTCGATCCTATGGTCAGGGTTAATGTTTAGGATTTGGGATATCTTCTTGCTGTAATGGAGACATAAGCTTCTTGGTAAAGACGATTGGGAACAGCATATCATGTATAGAACATCCGTATGTGTAGGTTCGAAAACTGCGAATAGATAAAATGTGTGTATAATGAGCAATAATTCGAATCTTGCCTGTGTTTCTGGTAATGATTGGTTTCAATCGTTCTTCACTAAAAAGCTAGACGCTTGTTGGCTAGTGGTCAAAAGCTTGAGGCTTCAGTAGGCTGGTTGTGTTCACATGCAGAAGTGCTCAAAGTAAGTAAGTCTTACTAGCTTTCTGTCTAATGGTATTGCAAATTTATGGTTTTGTGTATTAAAATTACCGAATTTGATTTCTTCGTGCCAGACCAGAATTCAGTATTCAAAACTGAATGGATAGTCAACTGCCCGATGCATGGGCTTGCAATGGTTTCTCTAGATGTATGTAAAACTGGTCTCGGCCAGATCATGGATCCCAAGTTAACGGCCTATAACGCTGGTTTGAAATTAACAATGTCGAGGTTCTTTTCCTGGTCCTTCGCCCTCCTTCCTCCCGTTATATGCCATCCTCGCATTGGTAATATACTCATTCTGTCCTTGTTATTCTACAAACTGTGAGCTCCTAACTTGGATACATCCTTCTCCTCCTTCAAAGAAATATAGGCATAGACTGGGCACGGGTGAGATGAGTATTCCATATATCTCTGAATAGTGGATAAATGACACTTCTGTCACCTGAAGTATAAATAAGAATTCAAGTTTAACTTATGACCTGGGAGTTTCGATAGCTATAGTGTAAAAATTTATGCTTCCAAGAAGCATCTAATCATCGCGGAGATGTTTTTTAAATCAGAAGAAATGGAGAATATTTTTTCGGCTTTGATACCACACGAGATGTGTAGAACACGCTCAAATATGACCTTCTACATCAATTTGGACCATGCTTTTTAGCTCCTATCATGATTCGCTCATCTTTGTTATACAAAGGATTCGAGAAAGTACAGCTATTAATGCAAATCGAGGTGATACATCTCAGACTACAAGTATCGAAACAATAGTAGATACTTCGCATGCGAACGTAATAAGAGTGATAATGACAATGGGGTCTTCAACCTAGATAGCGAATCTGCTGTGCGACCTACCCGTGAGATAGATAGCTTGGGATCTTGAATCCCATACGGGTGAACTCTTGGAGTGGGCACACATTGTGCTTCTAGATCCGCGCTCCGGACTCTAAGTCACATTCCTGACATCAGACCTGCCATATTTGTCGGAGAGTTTGGAAAGGGTATCGAGGCACGAGAGGTGGAAACATACCTCCTGAGAACAAGGTATTCACGGGACTGATATCCGATTTCTAAGCCAGACATTATCGATGCTAGCAACTCCAGACGCTGGATTAACAAATAGGGAGGATAATATGGCGATGAACAAACAATCTACCTACATAGCGAGCTTGGTTGCACTTTTATCACCTTACAGACTATCTGCCTACACTTCACCCCCAGGGATGGGAAGCAGTTTTAAGACAAACTGTTTTCCCAATATTGGATGTGATCATCATTTCACGGATTCTTCGACAGCAACGAAGCCGAGACCGGCAAATGTGGACTGCTTATTGCGCTGGCTTTCACGAATGCCCAGACTAGGAATAAAGGAGCTTCCTGCAACATTGTGTGTGAATGACTGCAAGCAAAGGAGAGAAAAATGGTTCCTATGTTCAATGTGTTGACATGAGACCCCACTAACGACACAAATCAGGGGACACACGGTTTGGTTGATACCATTTCAACACTGGAAAGGCGGTTTACCTTGCATGAGAGATGATAATAAGTCGGGGTCAGTCTGACCCCGATTCTGATTGAATGCCAGATGCTCCAGCCTATCAAATTGCGGAGATCGCTTTTTCTTGAAGATTCAAATCAAAGTGGAGCATCGATAGTCTGTTATTTGAATTGAAATAGAGAACTTTACCGAGACATTAGAGCTCCCCCATCCGTTCTCTCAAAGGTATCCTGACAGTCTCAGTTGTCCATACCAGCCACCATGTGTTCATTTGGAACAACAGCCTCTAACTCTCTAACTGCTTGCCTAACATTATCGCCACAATCGACTGAGGGGCCAGGGCCTCCCATCATCATTCTCATTCGACCGGTTGTGTCGGTGACAATCATTTTCAGCATCAAGGTTCGCGCACAAACTTCTTGAAATACCTTCAATGCAGCATTTTCACCTGTGTCTATTGTGAGTGTCAGTGGAATGGTGACACTCGAGGAACATTTGGCCACGAAAGTATCCCAACAATCCAAGGCTTAACAATCATTTTAATTACTCAACGGGGTTTAGAAATTGAAAGCTTCTAGATATGATATATCAAATGTCTGGCTACGATGTGGAATATTGTAACCCCTATACAATGCGCCAAACAGGGGGGGAAATATACATACCTAGTGACTCTAGGCGAAATTGATCGGCATGTTGATAGGACTTCCATTTAGGATATTGTTGTATTCGAGAAGCATGGAATAACCACGCTTTACAAAATCCCAGAGGAAGAACAGACTTGGGCTTGGGTTGTGCGAGCTCCAGGAGGGGTGTGCTTCTAATTCTCTATGTATGGGTCAGCATTGGCAAAAGAACGTTCGGGAAGGATGGATCTACTTTATGACCTTCTCCAAATGGGTCTTGATATCCTCTCGGAGTTGAGCTGGGATGGGTGCCATCATGGACCATTTCCTTTTCCTGCTAAGTTTTTGAGGGATATCAAGATCAAGTGGGAGAAGAGAACGTACTGCTGGAATGACGAATATAGCTCCCTATTTGTGGTTGCAAAGTAGGTAACATGATTGAGTTCCTTGTTTGGTAGTTTGGTAGTTTGCATGTTTTCATGTTTCTAAGGAGATGCAAAGATCGACAATCAATCTTGTAGGTTAAGGATTAACGTGCACGTGTTAATCGGTGAATCAAATGCGTACACTTAAAACTTATATATGCATGGTGAATACCAGAGTGAAGACTCCATTCCCAACTGTATCCGTCAACCTTTCTAGGTTAATAATAGGTGTACTCAGCCCATCGGCATCAAGGCCAAGGATGGTATTGTACATCGTGAATCTCTCTCTCTCTCTCTCCATGCAGCTATAGTTGGTTGTTTGATGAATGAGTGTTACCATCATGATTCAGCGATCATGTAGTATTCAAACCCGGTAATATATCTCATTATACTCATTTTGTTATATCAACACTTGTCACCAATAACATTCCACCAAGCTTTTGAAATGAGTGAACCATTGAATCAATTTTGGTTGAATTAAGGGTTGTCCTGTCTACTTCGTACTCTCCCGAGTCACCCACCACCTGGTAAGTTACCTATTCACCAGTCCCTACCTCACCAACTCACCCATTTTCCCCTATTTAAATGAAACATCGGCAGAAGAAGAAAAAACCCGACGATCTGGCCAAAATTGATCCGTGCGCATTATTGACCCTCCAATCAAGACTAGTGCCCCCTCCATTAGCGTCTCTCAAACCTCAACACGCTAAGGTAAACGTAACTTTGTTGTATCTTAATTAGTTGTCACCTTCGTACCTGGTGATACTCAGTTGTAAAAACATTTTCTCTCTCTCTTTTCTTTATACTCAAAGGAAAGTTGAAAGAAAAGATGGCTTCCAATCCTCAGAGTACCAATGGCTCTGAGAGCGAATTCGAGTTTATCGAAACCCCAAAAGCTCCCACACCGACCTTTGAAAAGTTCGAGCCATGTGGTGTGAGGACAACAGCTGTAAGTTCATGAAAAAAAAAAAAAATCCCAGAATTTCCTCATATCTGTCAGGTTGGATTTTGAGTAAACAAAAAGGTCAATTGAATCTAACATATTATGACAATTAGTACCCTGCTATCAAGAATGCTCCTTTGCCCGCAGATGCGGCTGGCAATGACAGTTTCTCGAACACCCTCCTTTTCTCCCTCATTGGTGGTGTCCCTCTATACTTCTCCTGGAAGGTTGGTGGTGGATTCAAGACTACCATTTTCTTCGGTCTCATCACCACTATCCCCATTCTCCTCGCATTCTGGACAGTATTCTCCAGCTTCTCTCCACGTAAAAATGAGAAGGCCAAGTACCCAGGACGTCCAGTCGAGCACTATCTTACCTTCAAGAACGAAGCCGATAAAATAAAATACAGCGGAAAGAACAAGATTCCTATGGAAACTTTCCACAACATGTACTTCGATGGAGAAGTTGACTTCAACGGTGACGCCCTCGAGGTTCTCGAGTACCGTCATGACTGGGCAAGCTTCAAATTCACAATTAGCCTTTTCAAATATGTCTTCTTCAACTTCGCACCAGAAGTTATCATGCACACTCGTTCCCAAGGTAAGTCGCAGAAAATCTTCCTCTATATGAAAAATACTGACAATGTCGCAGATGAGGAACAAGTCCGTGATCACTACGATCGGGGTGACGACTTCTATGGCTGGTTTCTTGGCCCACGAATGATCTATACCTCCGGTGTTATCTCTGACATCAACCGTGAAGAAACCTTGGAGGAATTGCAGGATAACAAACTCGCCATTGTCTGTGAAAAGATTGGTCTCAAACCTGGTGAGAAAATGTTGGATATTGGTTGTGGATGGGGAACCTTGGCCAAATTCGCCAGTGTTAACTTCGGTGCAAAGGCTACTGGTATCACTCTTGGTCGTAACCAAACTGCCTGGGGTAACAATGGACTTCGCAAAGCTGGTATTCCCGAAGAACAAAGTAAGATTTTGTGCATGGATTACCGTGATATTCCAGTCCCTGAGGGAGGTTATGACAAGATTACATGCCTCGAGATGGCTGAGCACGTTGGTATCCGTCACTTGACAAGCTTCTTGAAGCAATGTCACGATATGCTCGAAGACGATGGAGTTATGTTCCTTCAAGTAGCTGGTTTGAGAAAGACTTGGCAATACGAGGATCTCATCTGGGGTCTTTTCATGAACAAATACATCTTCCCTGGTGCTGACGCTTCTACTCCTCTCAACAACTATATTAACTCCCTCGAGAGTGCTGGATTCGAGGTTAAGGGTGTTGATACTATTGGTGTTCACTACTCAGCAACATTGTGGAGATGGTACAGAAACTGGATGGCCAACAAGGAGAAGGTAGTTGCTAAATACGGTAACAGATGGTTTAGAGTAAGTCTTCATCATGATTGCACGAATGGTCGCACATACTGACAGTAACAGATCTGGGAATACTTCCTCGCTTCCTCTACTATTATCTCTCGTCAAGGATCTGCCACCTGTTACCAGATCACCTTGGTAAAGAATCTCAACTCTGTCCACCGTATTGAAGGAATTGCAACACAATTCGGATTGTCTGGCGCACTAGCTGCCGCTAAAGCCGATGTTCAGGCATACCGATCTAAGAAAGCTGCAGGTGAAGATGTCGCCAGCGCATAAATGATTGAATGAAGGAATGACTATATTACAATCAGTAAAAGGGTTTGGAGATCCCAGTTAAGATATTCAAGTATCTATATATTTATCGATGGGAATACACAGAGCTAGATGTGTGACTGTATTCGTGGCTATATGCCAGAAGGGGATGAAGAGCCAGACCTTATGTAGGAAAGCTTCAAGCTTGTGGTATAATCTAGGTGATGCAAGTACTTGTGTACCTGAATACATGCAGCTTCAATCAATGATTTTTGCACCAAAATGATTAAAAGTGATTCAAATGCACAAACATTTCCAATTAGTGAATTCAATAGACGTTGAAATATCGAAGCTGAATGATGATACGATACACATTTATATTTAGCCCCTTTAACTTTTTGTCGCAAAATCGGTGAAACTTGGGTTGTATGAATTTGTATATTAAAGGTCGCTAAGCCCAGCCTCTACGGTAACAGATTACCTGAGCTTCGTCATTTCGACCCCCGGACCGTGGTATCTTCTACCAACCTCGAACCCATTCCTTCAAATAAATGTCACAAATCTATCTTTCTTCTTACCTATTTCTTTTTTGTTCATACTCATAATGTTTTCGGGTTCGAACTCGTACCTTGGTGGTAACACTGGCCGCCAACCACCACAACAACCGCAACAACAATATGGTGGTTTCCAGCCAAACCAAGGTTTCCAACCACAGCAGACTGGTTTCCAGCCACAACAGACTGGTTTTCAACCTCAACCCACTGGATATGGAAATGCGGCCCCTTTACAACCCAATTTCACAGGTTATCCACTTCAAGCACAGCCTACGGGATACCCTCAGCAACCTCAAGCAGGCTTCCCTGGAGGCCAGCAGCAACAACAGCAGTTCAACAATGCTCCTCAACAGCAGAACTTCCAAACGGGAGCTCCCCCAATGCCGCAGATTCCGCAGCAATTCCAGCAGCCCCAACAGACGCAACAAGCTCCACCACCCCCTGCACCTCCTGTGCAGCAACCACAAGCGACCGGATTTGCCGCAATGGCAGATTCATTTAAACCGGCTGCCGCAGAACCGTCAAAAGCAAGAGGACGCAGAGCCTCTAAGGGGGGAGCAAAGATACCTAGTATAAGACTTTCCTTTATCACGGCCCAAGATCAAGCAAAGTTCGAAACACTTTTCAAGTCCGCTGTCGGGGACGGGCAAACACTTTCTGGAGAAAAATCGAGGGATCTTTTGCTACGCTCAAAACTAGACGGGAACTCTCTGTCGCAGATATGGTAAGCATCAAATTATTCAATGGATACAATATTGTGCTTATGATCATTATAGGACGCTCGCAGATACTACAAGATCTGGACAGCTACATTTTCCCGAATTCGCATTAGCTATGTACCTCTGCAATCTGAAGCTAGTCGGCAAGCAATTGCCATCCGTGCTTCCCGATATTATCAAAAATGAAGTTTCTAGCATGGTGGACATCATTAATTTCGCTATAGATGATGATGCACCAGCAGTAACGAATGCGCCTAGTTTTGATGGTCGACAAAACACCGCAACACCTCCGACTATCCAACAACCACAGCCAATGGCGTCCAATTCCGCTCTTCTCACTGCGCAAATGACTGGTTATCCTGGACAGCAGAATAACTTTTCGGGTGGATTTCAACCACAGCAAACTGGCTTCCAGGGTTCAATGCAAACTGGCTTTCCTGGACAGCAAGGAGGATTGCAGCCTCAGCAAACCGGGTACAATCAAATGTCAAATCCTCAAGCAACGGGTTACAATGGACCGCGCCCTCCAATGCCTCCTATGCCATCTAACTTCAGTTCTCACTTGACTCCCGCTCAGACGGGCATGCAAGGCGGAATGATCGCGCCATTGAATAGCCAGCCTACAGGAGTCGATGGCCAATGGGGTTTGGTAAATGCGCCAGCTCCCAATATCGATCTACTACATTCCCGGATGATGCCGCAACAAGGTCGAGAACAAGGCAACTTTACGACAGCCGGTATAACAGGCAATGCTGAAATTCCATGGGGAATTACGAAAGAAGAGAAGACCAGATACGATTCTGTTTTCAAAGCTTGGGATGGGTTTGGTAAAGGATATATTAGCGGTGATGTCGCTATTGAAGTTTTTGGACAGAGTGGTCTCGAAAAGCCCGACCTGGAGCGCGTATGGACCTTAGCAGATCACGGCAACAAGGGAAAGCTTAATATGGATGAATTCGCAGTTGCTATGCATTTGATTTATCGAAAGCTTAATGGATATCCTCTACCAGCCCAACTACCTCCGGCACTTATACCCCCTTCCACTCGTAACTTCAATGATTCGATTGGGGCTGTCAAATCTTTACTTCACCAAGAATCCAATTTCCGCAAGAACTCTGGTGCTACCCTTTTGCCACAAAAGACTGGAGTGAGTTACCTCAAAAACCATTCTTTCCGTGGTGACGCTGTTCCAGGTCGCACAGGCCGTAAAGATGCCACAGTATACAAAAACAACGACGATGATGTTGGATATAAATCTAGTGCTCGTCGCAGACTCGGAGCCTCTTCTCCACGACCTTCGTCTCCTGGATCAACAACTTCTAACGATGAACTTTCTTTAGAGCAACTTAGAAAGAAAATCGCGGAGAGACAAGTAATACTAGATGCAATTGATTTCAAGGCCGAAAATGCTGCAGATGAAGATGATGCCCTTGATCGTAAAGATCGCCGTGAAGCTGAGGATCTGTATCGCCGCATTCGTCGTATTCAAGAGGATATTGATGCGCATCCAGATGCATCGTTGCGTAACGTTGATTCCGGCGCCGAGCGTCGTGCTTTGAAAAGACAATTGCAAACATTGACGGATAAGCTTCCAGATATCGCTTCGCGTGTCCGACGTACAGAAAGAAGTATCGCTGATGCCAAGCTTGAACTCTTCCGTCTAAAGGATGCTAAAGCTCACCCTGGAAGTGCCTCTAGCATCGTTGGAACCGGCCCTGGCGGTGCTATCACCGAATCAGATAGACTCAAAGCAAGAGCTAAGGCCATGATGCAACAACGTTCCGCTGCTCTCACTGGTAAGAAGATTGAGACGAGTAATGATGACTTGGATGCGCCAAAACGTCTCGAAGAGGAAAACCTTAAGATTAGAACCGAGAAGGAAAATAACGAGCGCATGGTTCAAGATGTTGAAGAAAGTGTCCGTGATTTTTCACGAGGCTTGGAGGATAGTCTCAAAGATGGTGGTGAGAGCTCTTCCAGTGAGCATGAGAAGAGACGTTGGGAGGATGGGCTAGGTGTCGAGGATGAAGTCAAGGACTTCATCTTCGATTTACAAAGGAGCAGCAGGAGTGCCAGAGTCCGAACTGATGATCGTAGCAGGGAGGCTCCTCGTACTGAAGCATCTCATGCTAGCCCTGCTCCAGCAGCTCGTAGCGAAACTCCATTGTCACAGCCATCATCTACACCAGCCCCTGCTGGAGGTTCATACTCACAATACAAAACTCCAGAAGACAGAGCAGCTTATATCAAGCAACAGGCGGAGAAGCGCATGGCTGAGCGTCTGGCTGCTCTTGGCATCAAAGCACCATCTAAATCTGGGGAGACAACCCAACAGAGATTGGAGCGTGAAAAGAATGAGCGTGCAGCTAAACTCAGACAAGCAGAAGAGGAAGATGCTAAACGCGAAGCTGAAAGGCAAGCTAGGATTGCCGAAGAGCAGGGTGTACCTCCACCTGCCCCCGAGCAACCCAAGGAGACTGCCAAAAAGCCACCTCCACCTCCTTCGAGGAAGGCCGCAAGAAGTGACGCTAGTGAACGCAAGGCCGAAGAAGAGAGAATCATTAACGAGCAAAAGGCACAAATTATTGCCACAAATGAGCTAGAGTAAGAAAATCTTGAATCTGACATATTCTACACAGCTAACATTCACAGGGACGACGCTCAACGACAAGAACTTGAGCTTGCAAAGGAACGCGAGGCGGCTCAGGCTCGTGTCAAGGCCTTAGAAGATCAAATGAAAGCCGGAAAATTGAAGAAAGAAGAGGAGAAAAGGAAGAGAAAGGCTCTTCAAGCTGAGACCAAACAACAAGAAGCTCGTCTCGCAGCTCAACGTGCAGAAATTGAAGCCGCACAAGCACGTGAGCGAGAATTGCAACGTCAATTGGAAGCTATTGATGATTCGGATTCATCCGATGATGACGAAGGTCCAGAGCAAGTTACCCCTCAAGCATCAACACCCACTCAAGGAAGTCAAGAACTTGAGCGTAAAGAACCTTCTCCGCCACCTCCTCCACCTTCAATTCCAGTTGTTGTATCTCCAGTCCCTGCTGCTGCAACAACAACCAGCCTCCCATCACCAACCCCACAAGTCATTAGCCCTGTTCTCAGCCCTCCAGTTGATACAGAGACCCGCAATCCTTTCTTGAAGAAAATGGCTCAATCAGGTGATGCATCTACCGCATCTACTGCATCTAACAATCCATTCCATCGTCTCCCTGCTCAAGAACTTTCTACACCTGCACCAATGCAAGTTCAGCCAACAGGTAACAGGCCATCTCGCGTTCGTCCGGAAGAAGATGATTGGGATGTTGTTGGATCTGACAAAGAAGATGATTCCTCTGACGATGAAGGACCTGGTGCAGGTGGCGCGCGTCATTTGGCATCAATCCTTTTCGGAACCATGGCACCTCCTCGTCCCTTGTCATCGATGGGTAACGAAACCACATCTGCGCCTGAATCTCCTGCTGTAGCATCTCCACCGACGGCAACCCCACCACCTCCACCTCCAGTACTTAACTTCAATGCTCCACCACCCCCTCCAATGCCATCAGCCGGTGCGCCAGGTGGTCCTCCTCCGCCACCACCACCTCCACCTGGAATGAGCGCTCCACCTCCACCACCAATGCCTCCAATGGGAGGAGCCCCTGCTCCACCAGCAGGTGGACGACCAGCTGGTCTCTTGGGTGAAATTCAGATGGGACGATCGTTGAAAAAGACACAGACTAAAGACAAGAGTGCAGCTGCTGTTGCTGGAAGGGTCTTGGATTAAATGCCCCTTCAACCATTGAAAGGAGGCAAGATGAAATAGAGGGTTGTGATAAGCGAGGCCTGAGAGAATGGATTGTATCATAAAGTACTTTTGGTTCATAGTATTGGGCAATGGGACATAGGTATGGGAGGTGTGAAACAGGAAAGATAAGAGATGAGCATAATTTGTAGTCGAAGAAGTCGCAATTTGAAAATATTCGTTCGTTTTGATAATCATTTGATGCTTCTATCGCCAGTGCAAGTTTTGTGATTTTGTGGTCTTGTATATGAAGTGATAAATATTGAAGTACATGATCCTTTCTTTTACATTCTGATTCATCTAGGTCTTAATGTCACAACAGAGTCTATAAAAAATATTTTCATGAGTTTTGCATAGAAGCGTGGAGCTTTGACTAAGAAACTTGAGAATGTCAGGTTGTAGATGGTGCTAAAACGGTATCATGTCATGCTCGTTAATCTTTCCAAAAAGGAAAAGTCTTTCATATGTTGCGTCCGGGGTGAATGCAAGGGAATTATAGTAGCCTGTGGGCCACTACGCATAATTATTTAACTAATTAGACCCAGATTTCAAATCTGACGTGCCTTAAGAAAAGAAAAAGAAAACGTTCTCTTTCCTTATTCCAGAGTACTGTTCATGATGATTCCGTAATCTCAATAATCTCAAAATGGAGCTCCAATAGTTTTGTCCCGCAACTCATCTGCCTGTCCATATATCAATTGTTCGCTCGCCCACGCCCTATCTTCTGGATTCATTCTCTCCAACATCTCTCTAATCCTAGCTTCTGCCTCCTCCTCCATCCTCGCTTGCGAAATTTTCTCCGTGTCGCGATGGGATAATGGTATACCTCTGAACGGTCTGGGGAACCCTGGTATATCTTCCATGACTCGCATTTCCAGATCCCCGCACTTTCCCGACTCGAATTCTCCTCCGTTGTATACTGAATGAGGCCATATCGTCGGTCTCGATCTACGTTTGCGATGAAACCAGGAAAATCGCCAGTGCGAAGTTTCGGGGCTTAAAGTCGAATCGTCATCCCTCACGGGATGTAAGAAGCGTTCTGGAACCGGAATTTTTAAGCAGAGGATGAGGAGGAAAGCGACAAATACGCTCACTGAAGCGACGATAACCGGGACGACAACGGCCGAATTAATATCATTCGAGCCGAAAGGTTTGGTAGGCAGTGAGGTATCTGTTGGAGAGGCGGGAGTAGCGATGGAGAGAATATCCGCCATTGTCAGGACATATTGGGAAGCCCAGAGCGAGGCTAAAAAAAGTAAACGTCGCATCGTGAGACGATGAATCCTTTTGCCTGATTCGAAGGCGCGAGGGACGACATTGGTGCTCTGCGAAAGTAGCACACACAGCACACGAGGCAAAGGGGGCAAAAGACTCGAGTGTGAGCGCACACGGATATTTATGGGAACTGGTTGCAGCGCGCGCGCCTCGGAAAAGATGGCTAAATGCGAGGGGATTACTTTAAAACTTAGGAGAGTTTGATTTGTCTGGAGAAGGAGAGGTCGGTCCACATGGAAAACACGCTGGGGAGAATTTGTGATGATTAGTTTATCCTAGCTGGGTTCCTTCGCTGCAACCCCCGCAAATACTTCCTTCACCGTACCCCGTGAATTTCTACTTTTGTGCCACCGTGGAGGGATTCCAATGGATGGCTGTAGAGATCTAGCCTATTAGATGAAATAGACATCGCTATGCCTCTTTCATGCAGCAGGTGAATGAGTGGCTTGTGAGACACTAGGTTGTTATTTTTGTTGAGTATTATTATAGTATTACATCCTAGCTATCGAAGGGTTCCATTGCATTTTTTGATACACGATAGTGAGAATATCTCTGTACTTGAGATGTTTCTTCTACATGGACCCCAGTACTACATCATTATGCTTCTCTTTGCAGGTATCTCACTTCTTGCAGGTACAGCTATATATCAGTCTATCTAAGTTTCATTGCAATCATATACTCGTACATAGTAGCGCTTACTAGAAATAGTGAAGATCATATAATCTTAATCATCAGCTTGCCTATGTATCTAGTAAGTTTTCAGTAGACTAGACTCGATGAATACCTTTCTAAGAAGTACCATGTCGTATTTATCCAGAAATCAGACACATGGTCTCACGATATAAATTGGCAAATTGATATACATAAGGTACAAAGCATACTACAATATTTATACCACAATATATAATTAGTGAAAAGCAATCACCCAACGTTTCCGCAGCACCCCGCTGATCTCATCAGATGAATCATCCATCATCCTAACTAACCTCCACACTTCTCCTCATACCTAGGTAATTTCCCCGCAATCCTTCAACCTCCCTGATATCTTCCCGTCCCGTCCCAAAGACTATGTGACTCCTTCCCAATTTTCAAATCCAACCAAGGTTCACTGATAAAACCATCTATGCATGATGTTCATCACATATCGCGCGCCATCCCAATCAACCCAGAAGGTTATCACGCGAGCAAACTAGCAAATAAAGATTCCTTCCACCAGAAACTTCATCCTCACATGCTCAATCCTAGAATACGACTCTTTTTCGTGGGGATCCTGATTTTAGCTTAGCCGTGTGAATTGATTGGGTATTTAATACTACGATGAGCAAGCAGCTGACATGTCTGAAAGCTGGAGGGGATTGGTGGTATGTGTGGGTGCTGAGGATCTTTGGTATACAGGGAGAGTTCCATCTGCATGAATAAATATTGGTAGGGCGTAGGTGTGTTAATTTTGTATGTATATATGTATATATGTAGGTGGTTCGAGTTCTTTTCTATTGTTATGGTGAGTTAGGCTTGAGTGTGAAATTTGTTGTTGTCGTTGATGTCTAGCTCATTTCTTGGATGTAGGGGGAAGAAAAACTCCGTTCTCTGATCATATTTGTGATATCAAATTATAATAACTCAGGTACATAATATATATAGAGATGGTACTTTGAGTCGTAGTTGCAACGGTGATTGACGATCGAGTCTATTCGAGATTCTCTCATAATCACATCTATAAGGTTACATATATGTACCTACAAGCAAGCATCCTCATACTCATCAAGCAAACCCAATCACAAAAGCTAAGCCTAAAATTCTCATTCCCATTCCTACGTTTTGTCTACATTCTGAGGTGATACTTAGGCACCACCTACCTAGGAACCGAATACCCCTTAAGTAAGAGTTGAGGCCCTGGCTTATCGCACACCACCCTTTTTTGTAACAAAATCCCTACAAAAATACTGTTTTCCTATACAAATTAATTATTTTCATAATTCTTTAACTATTTGAAGAATTCATTTGAAAATTATATATATAAGAAACAATTATATAAAGAATATTCAATTTAAATTTTTCCTTAAATTTATAATATATAACACTTTTCTTATCAAAAAAGCCACTTTTTTCAACTTTTTTAATAATTTCAATTTTAAGAATTTATAATCTTATCAAAAAAATAACTAAAAATATTTCATTTGTTTTTTGAATCATTTTAATAATTCTCAATCTTATATATTATTTTTATAAACTTAATTTATAAATTGATTAAATTAATATATAATTAAAAAATTAAAAAAATGAGGGGTTTTAGTGTATTTTTATTTAGTATGTAATAAGCTAGGGCTTAAACTCTTATATTATATTAACCTTATATTCTAGTTTACATGCACATAGATATTAGCTTAACATTGTGTCACCCCTCGACCCTATAAAGCTTATGGATAACCTTAATTGTCACTTCATAAATGATAATATTTAAATACTTATATAAGATTAGTTGTAGTTGTCGAATACTACTTATAACATTATAATATGAAATACCTGGGTAACTGTTACAGGAGCTGCCTCTAGGGTCATGTGGAAGTGTCTAGAGATCTCTTGAAGTGGTTTAAACTAGACTTCTAGTAGGAATTCAATAAGGTTGTAATTGATTGTAATTTTTGTAATTATAGTAATGAAATTAATGATTATTCTTGAGCATAAAGCTTTGTATTATAATAAGACCTGTTCTCTTTATATAGACCTTCCTGCTTTACAGAACTTATAATTCTGTTCTACTTAGATCTCTTAGATCCTAAGCTTCAAAAGCTTCTGGCTCCTTAAATCCTAAGCTCCAAAGGCTCCAACGTCCTATCACATGACACTTATCACGTGATCCAATGTTACCCGTCGTAACAGTAACCTTATCAAAATATCGGTAATGATATCTTGTCGAAGATAACGAATAACCTCACCGATAGCTTGGAGTAAGAGTGCCGAATTAGTATCGTGGGGTGAGTAGGTAGTATTTTCTGCTTCTCGATCCATATATTGAGGTCGATCCATGAATGATTCCTATTTAATTTTGTAGCGTTACTTTGCTGTGTGTATCACAAACTCGGGATCTTATATTGTTTTATGGACATGGTGCAGAAATGTAAGTGTGCAAAACATACAAGATCGCCCTCCCCCCTTACCTTGGGGTTGTAATCGTAAATTTCAATATAAGAACAATTTGGGATTTGGAATATGGCCTGCATGGGATGAGGGTCTTTCGATATTCGAATGGTATTTGTCAAGACAGACTATAAGTCATATCACAGAGCGCTAACAATACCAAATTAACACCGCAGTGTGCTTTTGTGATTATGAATGTAACGTAAAGAGCTACAGTAGTCTAATAACAGTTTGTTGTAATTCCAGCCCGACCTCTCGCCCCCCCCCAAACATTTCCTCAAGCCCTGAGAGTCACGTCATGATAGAATACACGATAGCAGCCCAGTGCATGCCTCAATGTTTGGAGAACGGACCCCTAAAAAGCCAGTCACCTACCTGCTCTAATATTTCTTCTGTCCTGAGTTTTCGCATAGCCTCTGCATCAGGTCCCTTGTTATCCATCAAATCATGAGTGAAGGCATGACGAACATCTCTCACAAGCGTCCATTTATAGCCATCCTTTTCAAAACTATACATTCCATCTTCGCGTTCTCTTTCATTCAAATCGGCAAGATCAAAAGCTGTATCTCTAGCTTCCTTCGCTAGCATATCATACTCTGCCCCTATTATATATATCCATTTGGGTATATCGTTCCTGCTCACAAATCTAGTGCTCAATAATGGATCTCGAAGATTCTGACCAACAGGAATATGACCCCATTCGAATACTGGTCCAAAGTCTGGTAGATCATCTAAGTCCTTTGCATTTCGATATGGGCGCGAGACTTTCTTCTCGTCCGGTGTGAGTGTGAAGTCCATTACTGGATACCAAGCTACTACTCCATTCAATCTTTCTCGCAATTCAGGTATCTGAGCAGCGGACAAAGCCAAGTTTCCTCCTGCGCTAAATCCTCCCAAGACCACACGCTTCTTGTCAATATTCAGATCAGAATTGTCGATTGTAGCTTGCGCAATAGCAACAATATCGTTTGTCAATGCCGGGAATCTATTTGAGGGGGCCTGACTGTATTCAATGCTAACAACGATGATATTGAATCGATTCGCAATCGTAGCACAGATTTCATCGTCGAATTCGGCAGACATCAAAGAATATCCTCCGCCGTGAAGATCGAGATATAGTGGAAGTGATTCATCGTCAGCTTGCTTGGCCCTTGGAACAAAGATTCGCGTTCGCAGATTTGGTCGACATGGATATGCCAAGAGCTTTGTAGGGCGAGATTCAAGAGGTGTCGGTCGTAGAAGGCGCAGGATTTTGAAGGTTGCTACAATAGCGATCTTCAATCCCCAAAGCTGGATGAAATACCAGGCGCGAGTGAGGAGTGGAAGATGTGGCTGAACCAGATCTTTATTCTTTTCAGCGCATTCACGTCCATATTTGTTAGAAACCATCCTGCGATCTGTGATCTCGTGTATGTAAATTAGAATAAAGGGGCGCGCATTTTTAAATACTGCTCAGTCAGAAGGTCCTATACCTAGCTTGAGACAGTCATCCTATTGGAGGATAGCACTGCAAGTACAAGGTTGCATTAGGAGTAGTATGGCGCTTTGCGAAAATCTTCGATACGAACCAACTCACCAGTTTGTTCTGTTCAACAGTCTCAATATCATATCACATTGAGAGGTTCTCGAAAGACGTGTTGTATGAAATCATAATTCAAAAGCACTTGGAGCGAACCATGCTTTAACCTTCACTCACATGCCCCACCAAAATTTGGATGAAACACGTGATCGATGTGGAGGGAAGACTGCAACCATTTTTACGACCAAAAACTTCCCTTCTGTTATTGGCATAAAGAAAGCTAAGAGCTGAAGACCAAAATGACAGAGAACATCAAGAATCTGGTTGATTGGGCCACAGCTTCTGGGGCTTATCTTCATCCTGACGTTGAAATTTATAAAGATACAGTAACAGGATTATCGTTCAAGGCGCAACAAACGATAGCTCCTCAAACAAGTATTGTACGATGCTCGTACCAAATTTCTCTGTCATATCTAAATGCACTTGGCACATATTCTCAATTTCCATCTACAGATCCATTTCCTGTAGAGTTCTTGGAGAATTTGAAAGAAGATGATCCCAATATTATTGGTCGCTTTTTCCTCATCCAGCAATATTTGAAGGGTGATCAATCTCCATGGTGGCAGTATGTCAGATTACTTCCCCAGCCAAATGATTCCAAAAGCCTTGGGATACCTATCTGGTGGCCAGAACAAGATCAAGAATTCCTCTCTGGGACAAATGCAGAACCTCCACTTCAGAAGCGAGAACAGATGTGGAGAGATCAGTGGAAGAAAGGAGTTGTGCTTTTGAGGGAATTGCCAAACCATAAAGAATACAGTTATCTCTTGTATCAATGGGCTGCTACTATATTTGATAGTCGAAGTTTTCGACCATCCTTGACAGTTTGTCCTGAAGCTTTGAGTGAGAGCTCTACAGATACAGATCTTAATCTAGATCATATTCGCAATGATAGGTTTTCGATCTTGTATCCACTGGTTGATATAGGCAATCATAATGGTATCAATCACGTAGAGTGGAAAAAAGACTCTATCTCCAATTCCTTCAATCTAGTCCATTCTGCTGGTGTCTCACAGGGAGATCAAATTTACAATTACTATGGAAATAAATCAAACAGCGAATTACTAGTTGGCTATGGTTTTATTCTTCCAAACGATCTTGTGAATCGAAATGTTGCCAATCTTAAATTGACTCCGGATCATAATGCTATTCAATTACGCAGAAGTCAGAAATGTCACAATCATCCAGATCCAAGACAGCCCGAGGAGGAATTCATGTTTGCTGTGCAACCACCGTCCGCAAATGGGTCACACGATTCTAGAATCTTGGAATTTCGCAGCTTTGGAGAAGGTCTAGTGGATCTCATTTGTTGTATGGTGGCAAATGAACGAGAACGTTCATACATGTTGAAGTTTCCGAGAATATGTCCAGAAAGAATTGCACAGCCATTTCAAAGTCCTCTATGTAGAACGATCATACAGGCAATATTCATTATCCAATCTAAGCTTGCATACGAAATTGATAAATTTGAAAACATCGGTGCAAGTCTAGGGTAAACCAACTCCCCGTCCCTAGCTGAGACCAGACTAACAATCTCAGTCCCCCTCAAAATCCCAATCAATCCCTCGCTCTGAATTACCGAAACCTCCAACTCACCACCCTAAAATCCGCCCTTCAACCCCTAGATCTCCTAACCACACCAACACTCACCCCACCCCTCCAACACTCACACCCCTCTCCAACAAGCAATCTCAAAATCCTCTCAATCGAACATGCCTACTCGCTACTTACCCTCCACTACCCCTCGCTCTCAACAAGCATCCAAAATCTCATCGCCTCAGACCAAGAAGAAGAACTCCCTCTGGATTGGTCCGTCCTTCTCGAAGATTGGAACTTTACATACTGGACTCTGTGGGTTTATATCATCATGCTGAAACGATCTGATGAGAACACTCTCGCGGCTATGCACCCAGCTTTAGAACAGTGGATCAGAGATTCAACTTTGTGAGTTTTTCTCTTCTTCTTCTTCATTTCCTCCTCCCCCCCCTCCCCTCCAAACCTAACTAACCTCCCACCCCCACCACAGAACTTTCTCCCCCCCAAACCCCCCACCCATCTTCCACGGCGCCCCCGACGAACACGAAACCCTCACAACCACCATCTCCCAACTCCGAGAACTACACCCCGAACTCTTCACTCTCCAAAATGTAAACTATGAGCACCTACTAAATCTCGCAAGTTACGTGGTCAAGGAACAGGCATTTATGGTGCCGTATGTCATGATGGATGGGGCGGCGAAGGGAAAACTGATTACGCAGTTGGTGGTGTGTATCTGGGGTGAGGAGGTGTGATGTGATGAATTGGGGGTTTGAGGGTTTGAGGGTTTGGAAAAGCTTGTGTAATTTGTGATTTTTTGTTAGATAGATAGATGGATAGATGTTTGGAATCTGATGAGGACAATTAGAGATAGAGTTATCTGTACTCCGAGATTTTCTCTAAAATCTAGTATATCTAGTAGTCTTGACTGAAGCAACGACAAAGAACTCATGGGCTAGAAATAGATGAGATGTCTCAAGATCCCAAATCTGATAAATTCCAAACCCTACTAAATCTACTAATGTTCATTATAACAATGACCCTAACCCTAACACTGCAATGCGATAACCAACCAACCCATCCCGCCCACCCTACCCATCACCCCTTATTCCCCCCAAACCTCATCCATCCCCTCCCCCCCACAAACCTCCCCCCATTCAGTCCACACCCTCTCGCCCGTCCACACGCCACCCCTCCCTCCTCTCCCATCCCTCCATACCCCCCCTTTTTCTTCCTCTCCTTTCTTCCCTCCTTCTCCTTCCTCTACCTTTTTCCCACCCTTCTCCTTTTTTCCTTCCCCACCCACCACCCACACCTGTTCTCCCCCCCCCTTCGTACACTCTTCCCAGAGCTGTTTTGCCCATTTTCTCCACCACATTTTGTTCCACGTTTGCTTTTTGTCGTTCTTCTGCTTCTTTCTTCTCTTTCTTCTCTTTCTCTGTCTCTTTACTTGTACCTCCATCCCCATCTTTCCCACTAATACCATAATCCAAATATTCATCTTCATCTTCATCCAAAAAAAAAGACCCAGGAATCCGCAAACCTGGAAAAACACCGTCACTACCACCATCGCCATACATAAGAAGCGGAATAGAATCCCACGAAATATTACTCCCTCTTGCCATTTTGAGACCGTTTTCTTTTTCTTTTGCCCCTGCTCTTGCTTTTCCTTTCTCTTCTTCTTTATCCACATCCGTAACTCCGCATAAATCAAACGGTCCAGGAATATTCTCCAACTCCGCAAATAACAACTTCATCTCCCTCACAGGCCCATTGATAACCCCCCTTGTTCTCACAATCTGCTTCTCCTTCTCCCCGGTGAGCTCACCAATCGTCGTAACCTTCACTTCCTCCCCCGATCTCGGCACTGTGTGAAAAATCCCCGACGTATAATCTACTCCGATGCCAAAATCTCCATCCCCTCTCTCACTATTTCCTCCTACCCCCAATGTCCAATTCGCATTTCCATTTCCATTTCTCTCCCCACCTCCTCCTCCTCCTTCCCTCCCCTCACCAACAATCCAACCCCCCCAAATTCCCCCCAGCCACCCCCTCCATCTCCATTCCTCCGCTCTCCGTCTCTCCACCCTCCTCCCTTCCTGTTCTCCAAAAATCCGCGTCATAATTTCCTGCATCGAATACCCCTCTCTTTCTTTCCCATCCCCATCCCCATCCCCATCCCGCTCTTGCGCAATCTCCCACGCTCGACTCCAAAGCGCTTTTATATCCCGCACCTTTCCCATCGCTAACGAGTTTTCGATAAAGCGAGGAAAGTCCCCATTTTGATTTACCTTTCCTCTTTTATTCTCCAACGACTAGGATCGAGGAACCACATCCCCATAGCAAGATTTCCCCTCTTCTGCATTTCCTCGCTCACCCCTATCCACCACAGCACAGTTTTTCCTCGCGGCAAAAAGTACTTTCTGTGTATATTTCTGTAATCCCACATTTCCAACTCTTCCAGTACCCACCTCCGTCCCCCTCTCAACACCATATTCTTCACGCAACTTCTCATTCACTGCCCTCCTATTCCGCAAAAATCTGCCAATGATAATTTCGCCCGGAAATTGCAACCACGTATTCGCATTCAAGAGTAACACTAAATCCTCATCATGCATATCTTTCCCATTGAGAAAATCAAGCGTATCTTGTATTTCTTGCAATGTGGATGTTTCTTTTTCTCTCTCTTCTTTTTCATTTCCATCCGATTCCAATTTGAAGCCAAGGAGTGTTGGAGGTGGGTAATTTAGGATAGATGCTGCGAGGAGCGTTTTGCAGAGATTGAGTGATTTCTTGCGGGCGGGCATTATAAGATGAAATTTCGGGTTTGTGTCTGTATTCGTGCTGGTTTCATTGTTGGGGAATGGGAAAGTCTCGTCCCAATCAGAGATTTCGATGATAGTGGATGGCGTGAAAGCTCCTGCTAATTTTTCAGGAACGTAGGAGCCGAGATATGATGCCGAGTGTTGGATTTTATACTATGAGATATCAGCTAGCTATGCTTTTGGGAGGATGAATATCAGAACTCGGGTATCATTTTCTGCCTGATTGATGAACATCAATGAATTATACTTACTGCATGCCATTTACCAAGAACAATGAGAATGACAGAAGATATGAAAATGAGAGAGAGAAAGATACGACTTCGGAGTCGACTGGGTCGTTTTAACTCTCTCAGTTTGTGAGCCACGAAGCTCATGGGCGAGATCTTCCGCCTGATAGTTTCGGGTACAGTCCCATTCTCTGTAGGAAACTCGTCATAATTCATCGCTAACTACTAACCACGGAGAAGCCAAATAAAGAGATTTCTCGTTTCCTCAAATTTCTCACTCCGATTGAATCATTGGTGTTTTCTTCACCTTAAATGTGTCGAAGTCTCAGAAGTCAATCGGAGTGCGTGAGTTATCAAGTACAGTAGAACAACGAGCTGCCAGCAAAATGTGCCAGAGAAAGAGTTTAAGAATGGATTGAAACACTGAGTTTTGAAGATTGCAAATGTTGTAAGTCGTTTGGCTGGAATGATATCAAGTAAGGGGTGAGGCAAATTCTTCTTCGGGAAAATCAAATAACTGAACCTAAGCGTATTATTGAAGGGTTTCCTTACGACAAAATTTCTTCTTAATTTGGTATATTGATATTATATACTGAATCTATAGCAAATATGATCATTGAGCCAATTAACCTAAATCTGGCTTCAGATCAATATAGGGTTCACTCAGCTTATTTGGAGATCTGGGATGATGAAAGAATATAAAAATATGGTAAACGAGAATGAATGACAAGCAAATATTTGGGTATAATAATGAGGATACCCTATCAAGAGCCTCTGAGTCGTTGCAGTTGATTGATAAACCCATATCCACTCTGCGTCCTATTCTCACCGATACCAGAAATCGATATTTCTTGGTCTTGCAAAGCCTCTACTCTTTGCCTTAATTGACCATTCTGTTCAGCATCCTTTAGTAGATCTCGATGTCTGTCTTCGACCATCTTTGCAAGACTTTCGACAAATTTGCTCCTTGCCCGTTCTTCAGCTGTGCCCTTCCACACAAGTGCCAATTCTTTCAATTCTTGTACTCTTTTGGCTGCTGCCTCAATAGCATCAACTGGATCATCCCCAATTAACAAATCTGCAATTTCATCACGTAGTTTCTTGGAAACTTCTTGACCTTTCTCTTCGGTGCTATGTGCTTCTGACCCTGGCTCGGGAGCGGAAACAGAAAGAAAGGATGAAGTGACCGATACTTCTGAAGGGGGAAAGGTCCATGCCATTGCCTCTCCAAATGTCTTTATAACCGTATCCAGTCGTGACCGTACAAGTGTAAGCGTTCGTAATTGTGTCACATAAGGAGGATCGGTGATTTTGGGGGTATTCGTGTCTTCTGAGGTAGGTGTTTTTGGCATGGTAGCTGTGGCAGATCGCGCCCTAGAGTCTCCAGACTTTATTGGTCTCCTTGACAGATCATTTTCAAGTCCCCCAGGAACAAACTTTGTAATATCATCGTGTAGTCCTTCGGTCAGCGCTTCTGATAATCCCAATGTCTCTCCTCGTAGCACTTCCACCTCATAGGCCAACCGGCTTCCACTTCGCAATATTTCATCGGTGAGTTGTGTAAGAGTAGTCGTAAGTCTAGTGGTGTGTGCGCTAAGATGTGAAAGAAGAGTCTGTGTCTGTGTAGACAATTCAGCTAAAGGGACGACATTTCTTGAAGACGACGACGTATTCGAAGATTGCAAAGAAGGCAAGGTTGAATTGAGGTAATCTGCAGGATCAAAAGCGGGATTCAAGAATGGTTGAAGAACAGGGTCTGCAACGTGGGTAGATTTCGACGGTAAATTGGGCTCTAATGTCGAGTTGCCATTTCGAGATTGAGATTGAGGTTGAGGATGTTTGAGCCTAGGATTGTTATTTTGTGAAGAGGGAAGGGTGTTAGAATCCCAAGCCATTTTCACAATGTATCTATGATTGACCAAAGTATTGTTACAATCAAGTGAAGATTGTTTTCGGTGTTTGGTATCATACCTAGCTCTAGAATACCTGATAATATTTTGAGCCCATCGAGTTGAATGGTGTCAACCACTTGGAACATTATTATTGTGGAACCAGCCCTTTGAGATATCGGTAATAATCGGATGACTAATACGAATAATTGGGGGATTAGAGCCGTGCATGAAGCCTCAACTCGGTCAAGGTCTGATTGGCTTGGGGTTGGGGGAGGGGAGAGGTACGGGTAGGTAGCTGTACAGTAGCCTTATTAGCTGTACAGTAGCCTCCTAATCATGGTAGGTGCGAGAGTTTGCATTTCTACCGGGATGATAGCTCTAGGTAGGCAGGTACTTGGTATCATCATAATGGTATGTCATCTTGTCTTCTTCTAGAGTCAGCCCGGAGATAGATATTCCTTCTTGTCTCAGACTTCACTTCACTCTCTTCTCTGACTTCACTTCACTACTTTACTTCTCTTCTCTTCTCCTCTCTTCACTTCACTTCACTTCACGTCACTTCACTTCACTTCACTTGTACCTCAACCAGTCTGATCTCACCTCAATTTAGTGCTTACCAGTCTACCCACCTACCTAGGTACATGATATTTGGATTTTCATCTCATTTGCTTCTACAGAGAAGCATCCGGACAGTTCTCCAGGACCATAAGAGACTGCATGTGGGTTTCATGCTTGGTACATGCATGAAAAGCTTCTTCTTAGGGATCTCCAAACCTCTGCTTGGTTTGACCGGTCAGACAATGATGTGATGTACTGGTGAAATTGATCACTCGTTAATAATAAGTTAATAATAAATCCCAACGTGTTTGAGTTCACTTCCAACATTCACCAGTGAACGTCCAATACTAGTACCTACCTACTGATGACTAGTACCACACTTATTATTATTACTCCGCATCCGTACCAGGCAACCGGACCATTTCGAAATTGTCGACCAATGACAATTGACTTTCCAAATTCGAACCACACACTGTCTACATCAAAACCAAGGCAACTCATCAAAACATCCCATACAAGGCTACAGGTCCATGACCTTTATACAGTTCTTTCCCTTGTCACCTCTAGCTTCAGAACTTCTATTCTTGAAAGTTCTTTCGAAAAAGACTAATATCTTTTGACTACAGTACAAGAACTTGGAATATCATTCCCTTCACCTTGGAAGAATCAGATCAGTACTTTGATTGAAAAACTCTCAACTCCATCAACTTGATATCAATCATCTCACAGGTACATCTTCGAGCTATCATCAAGTTAAGAAGGTCTTGCTACTCTTCAAGATCCCTCTCACCACAATACCTCAAGAACGATTCCAACTGTATCTGGCAAATTGCTCAACAAGGCATATTCACAGGATCAAAATTTGACCGAGGACTTCATTTCTTCAACAAGCTTCCGTCATCTTTCGAAGTTACAGTGTCCAAGATACATCCCATAATTGCGCTGCACGATGACTCGCAAACACTTCCTAGCGGATGTTAAAGAAGCGTCTGAGAAAGGCATCCCCAATGTTATCTCAATCAGTCGGGGAGATGACGATGGTGATGTCAACTTTTGCTTTTTGCATGATTCTACAGAACCTATAGAAATCGGTCTCTTAGCAATAGGTATGTTTTATTATATTTTATATCTCTAGCAAATAATCGAATCGTCGACTACGTAGACTTGATCACTGATTACGCACTTGGAATAAAATGATACCTTCAAAAAGGGAAGGAAACAAATTGTTCTTCATCATACTGACTTTGTTAGATGTCTCCGAGTACCCAAGTGGGAACAGTTTCATGATTTTCACCAAGTCCGAAGGGGCTCCAAAGGCTGTCAACGAAGCACTGGAACGACTCATGACCTCCTCAACTGGCGTACGTTTACCAGATTTGATTAGCAGCATTTCAAAAAAGCTACAGACATTACTTTCGGCAGGTTCACGAAGATCTCCTATCAGTCTCGACGAAGAGGATGAAGATGATGAGATGGAAGATAAGGAAGAAGACGGAAGCGAAGATGACTCTGGCTTTTCTGACGAGGAGGAAGAAGACTTTCCAGACGAGCTCATAACCTTCTCTAATGGTAATACTGTATCGGTCTCGACTAGTAGACTCACACTAAAGGCTGCTGCACAACTGAACCGACGCATTCGAGCAGACATTCGTACTGTCCGATTGCTAGGTCATCGGATCGGGATTCTCAGTGGCATGAAGGCCGAATCTCACAGTGGTATCCTCAGCATCTCCATTCAGGCGACTAAGCTGGGCTTATCGGAAGAGGCTATGCAAGCTTGGGATATTGAGCCTCACCAATATTTAACCTTACTCATACGCTACTCGGATGGGTACAAAACATACGAGGCACTGATTGCCGAACCAGCCAAAAATAGTGGGATCGATTTCCGTGTTGGAGTCTGTAATGGTTACAAGCCATCCGCAGCTGCTGCATTCTCGGCGTTTTCGGACTCAAACAAGGTCGGCGACAAAAATTCTAACAACGATGGCTTGATTTCACAGGAACAGAGCGGAGGATTTTTCAATATATTCATCAGTAGCTCCTTGAATGAATTTATCAATACGAAAATGATATCAATGCTCAAGATCCGTGATGCTACTGGTCTTGGATGGGAGAGCGCAAAGAAGTTTTTGGATACCCGCCAAGGACGACCACTTGAAGAAAATGCAGATTTGTATTCTGAAAATGAGTACTCGGACAAGGATACGATCAAAAGTCATACATCGCAGATTTTAGCCAATGATCATCTAACTGATAATGAGAGTGGCAGCTTGTCATTTCCGCTTCTTGCGGCACAATTTGCGCTGATGTATCTAGTCCGCTGCACTGAATTTTGTCTCGTCTGCCATGATAAAATTACGGGAGGATTTGAGGCGTTGAAGCCTTATGTTTGCGAGAAGCCATTGTGTCTTTATCAATATATGTCCTTAGGTTTTGGACCTAGTGTCGAACATGTAAGTGACCGTGGATTGTGTATACCCAAACCAATTACTAGATTGCTAATCGTGTATAGGAGATTAGAACTCAGCCTTATGTTGTAGACCTTCTCCTGAACTTTTGTTATACCAGTGCTTTTGTAAGTCTATCTGTACATAATCTCCATCTTTCACAGCTGACTTTTTGATAGGGCGCTCGAATCCGTGAGTATCCCACAGGCATGAGTCTTTCTGTTCCCTCCCCCATCGTCGCCTTAGCGGGGTACCTCGCACCACAAGACTTCTCTCCGGCCCCAGCTGCTGTAGAGCAGCCAAGCAATGATCGTCGAGACAGAGAGTTCAAGGTCAAGTATAACAGCGAAGCTTGTGAGTTTACGTTCGAGGAAATGCCTGAGATCTTAAACCCTCCTGTCCGCAAAGGAGATTGGGTTCGCATTTTGATTGGGCCCGGACCAGATACAGCAGTTCAAGCGCTCCATTCTAGAATAGAGGATGTAACTTCGATGCCGATTGTAAAACTTTCGCAACCAATCCCGCAGAAGGTTCAATCAACTACATACCACATCCCATTGGCCGATCATACACCAACAGTCAACCCCACCAACATAATTGCGGCTCGGATGTCTATTTACAATCGCAACTTCGATGAGATGTCTATCTCAGAAAAATGCAGTACTATAACAATGCTTCTTGACACTTTACCAACCATCCAGGAGTTAAGAGAATATATCGACCGACAGAGCCGAACCGAAGAACCGAACCTTCGTAAATGGACAGAGCGCATATCCCCAGCTGCTCTAGGTTTACTACGATGGGTTATAGCCTCTAATCGCTCATGCCTTGTTCAAGTCGATAAATGCCCTGGTCAAATGGATAGTGTCTTGGCTGATGCAAAAATTAGACCAGATCAAAAGGTCTCTCAAATTGGGGAAAATTGGATGCAGTTTCGTTTCGCACAGGGATCGCCAGACAAGGAAGAGCGTTTTTTAAATGCTCTTAAAGAACAGCAGACCTCTTTGGATCCAAAGTATCCTACTCTTTTTGCTTTCCATGGTAGTGCGCTGCAAAACTGGCATAGTATCATCCGACATGGATTGGATTTCAAAGAAACTCTCAACGGGAGAGCATTCGGACATGGCGTTTACCATGCACAAGATCAAAGCATATCTTGTCAATATAGTAATGGTAGAAATGTTGCAGTAAGTATAGAAATCATCGCAATTGGACTGGTCTAACTTTCAACCAGGGTTCCTGGCCTGGATCTCAGCTCAAAATTATGTCTGTGATGAGCGTTAACGAGATTATCAATTGTCCAAAACAGTTTGTTAGCTCGAATCCATATCTAGTGGTACAGCACATCGATTGGATTCAGTGCAGATATTTGCTTGTTCAGATTGAAGGACAGGTGATTGCAACACCAGACGCGACTAGGTATGTTTCCACTCAAGCGACTCGGTTATGGGGCATGAGATAATCCGCGATGATTGATGCTGACATTTATTTCCTTTGTAGGGAGATCCAGTCCGAAATTGAGCAAGATCCCAAATATACAGCAAGATCCACAAACAATAAACCTATCGGTGTTCCATACTGCGCTGCCTCGGTCTCTAGAGCATTTCGTAATGATGACGCCGGTAGTTCTTCCCCATGCAAGAAACTGAAAGGAATGTCTTCTTTGAATGGGACTGGATATGTGAGCGAAGCAGAAGACATTGAGGATATAAACTTTCTAATTTCTGATGATGAAGATGAAGTGGGAATATCGTAAGCAAATTAACTCTCCCTTGTACTTTGTTGTTTGACCACACCAATTCAAAACAGCCTCCAAACTGCCCTTGAAAGAGTCATTAGCGATCAAATCGTTTTATCTTGCTGATCACAAATTCTTCAAATGAGCTCTCACTAACTATCTGTACTAGATCTTCTGGCTCCAAGAATCTAGAGGCTTCAAAAACCGATTTTGTTCCTGGATCACTTGATCAAAGTAAACTTCCAATGCTGGGGCCTCCGGCTTATGCTACCCCATCTGCAACTATGCGTCTCAGCAGGGAATTAAAAGCAATCCTTAAGGTACAAAACTCTACACCCCTTCACGAATTAGGATGGTATATCGATGAAAATCTTGTTGAGAACATATACCAATGGATCATCGAGCTACACTCCTTTGAGTCCACATTACCACTGGCCAGGGATCTCAAAGAATCGGGCCAAAACAGCGTTGTTATTGAAATTCGCTTTGGGAAAGAGTATCCTCACAGCCCACCATTTGTACGAGTTGTCAAGCCACGATTCTTACCCTTCATGTCTGGTGGTGGCGGTCACGTAACAGCCGGTGGAGCATTATGTATGGAACTTTTGACAAATTCTGGCTGGAGTGCCGTCTCCTCGATTGAGTCTGTTCTCTTACAAGTTCGTCTTGCACTTATGAGTATGGACCCAAAGCCTGCACGTCTGGAAAGTAATGATCCACAGAAACAAGGTGAATATGGAACTCAAGAAGCTATGGCGGCTTTTATTAGAGCGTGCAATATGCATGGATGGGAGATTCCGAAGGACTTTCAGGACTTTGCTACACCTGGTCCTGGTCAGTTTTAAATCTGGGGAACTCCATTTGAGAATACAGTAGGATGAAATTAGTCAAGGGAAAGAAGGGGCATATGAGTGGTAGGGAGATGAGGGGAAAATGCTCACGGATTTAGGGTTTGCTTTTACTTCTTTGCTGATCTGGTTTTAATTTCTGGTTGGCGGGCTGGCGTCAGGAAACCTCAAGATGGGATATTACGATAAGATGACTGGACCTGGCAGAGAGATACCCAAACAACTATAAAGGAATATTACAAGGAGAAATAGGCGTCAAGTTGTGTAAGGGGACGGTATGGCAATGGATGGATCTTTGGGGCTGGGTGGGAATCAGACTATTACGTCTTTGTAAGATTTCTGTAAAAGAAATCTATTTGATAGCTGGCTAGTTATTAGATCAGAATATGGGTAGATAAAGGAGTTCTTCGCTTTATAAGATTTGTTATGTTTTATGGGTGAGTGGGTAACTGAATGGATGAGTTACTGTGTATAGTTTTAGTTTTATGAAAGGCTACTAGGTGTGACGAATTTCAAAAGATCATGCTGTAGATTATAGGTATTTTCTGGTTATATGTAGAAGGGAAGAGAGTGATTCAGGTAGTTAGATAGTATAATTTATGCTAACTTTAAGTCGAGGAAATGAATGAGAGATCAGACTAGATGGTATGAGATAAGTGATATTAGTTTTTGGACTTTCAGAGAGAGAGAGAGAGAGAGAGAGAGAGAGAGAGAGAGATAGAGAGAGAGAGTGTGTGTGTGTGTGTGTGTGTGTGTGTGAGGGAGAGGGAGAAGTTTAGATATAATAGTCATAGTAATAGTGTACAATTGTATAATTGTATACTAACATATTACAGCAATAGATTGAATAAAGTATTAAAGTATATAAGTAAATTCTTTCCGGTTTTTAATAGCTTTGAGTTTTGAGTTTCTATTAAAGGGTATGTTGGATGGGTAATTTGATGATATGATATGATATGATATGTGTTTGGATTTTGGATTTGGAATCGGGATTGCTTCTTTGGGTGGTGTTGGTGAGGTGAGGTGAGGTGAGAGGAAATGAGAGGAGAGGAGATGGATAGGATGAGAGGAGATGGATGGGATTTTGAGAGGATAGATTGTTTGTTTTTATATATTGAGATGAATTGGATTAAATTGAATCAAGTTAAATAAAGAAAAGAAGGAGAGAACAAAGAGTAGAGAATTGAAAGAAATATAGATATGATTTTTCATATGAGATTTTGAATGTGAGAGAATAGAGGTATAAAGATGAATGAATATAGATATAGATATGAATAGAGAGTTATATATAAGTTTACGAATTTCTGATTTGAAGAAATAAATATCCTATGTACTGAAAAGATATGGACTGAAAATATACAAAACGCCTGATATGGAATAAGACAAACAACCGCCAGGTATCCTACAGCCTCTTTTTTCCAACTCAACTCTAAAAATCAAAAGATGGTGCTGTATCGTATGTAGACTTCACGATCGCACTATGTCCTACTCCTTACTCCTTACTCCTCACTTCCTAATCTCTACTCCGCACCTCAAACACCAATCAGCTCCCCACCTTCAGAACATCTCATCCCATCTCTCCACATTTAAACATTGACATTATGACCCCAGATACCCTGTTCCCTACGTGCACTATAAGTGCTAACCGCCAAAATCTCCTGGATCTGTTCCGTACCCACCAACATCTTCTGTCCTGCAACAAACCATCTCAAGCCCTCCGTACAAGGAGGAGAAGTAAGACTTCCCTCATAGGTCCAGAAATCCTTCGCGTTGTTGATTTCCGTAAGTGCTTGTTTGAGATTGAGATCGAACGGGATGCGGGTCTTTGCGTCGGAGAAGGAGGGGATAGATGAGAGGGGGAAGGAGTCGAAGAATGTGGAGTTGGCGACGGTGCCGAAAGGGATGGGATCAATCAGGAATGCGACGACGGCGCGTTCGGCGCCGGAAGCGGTCGCGTGCACGAAATGCAGTTCGGCTTTGGAGCGGGCGAAATCGATGGTGTGGTCGGCGGGTGCGTGAATGTGCCAGCCTTTGAGGAAGACGGTTTCGTTGTCGAAGGTCATGGATGGGTTGCCGCTGAGATCGGTGACGTTGGAGGCGAGGGAGAAGGCGGGGCCGTAACCCCAGTTGTAGAGGGAGCCGGAGGTGGAGGTGGAGTAGTTGAAGGTTGGGGTGTGGGTTTTGGAGAAACCGGTGCTGGTGGTGAGATGGATAGGGGATTGTTGAGTGCCGGTTTGGCAAGTGGTGTAGTCTGATGAGATGTTAGAATAGGAGTAGGAGATGGAGAACTGAGAATGTAAACTTACTCTCGTTAATCATCCCCCAGTTGTAAGTAGCGTCATATGCCCAATCGGCAGGTCCCTCGGCTCTCTTCGTGATCGATCGGCTAGAAAGATCATGATCGGGACAAGCCACAACGGCTGACAAGAGAGTTGCGGCGAGAATAAATTTAGACATGGTGAAAGATTGAAGTGAAAGATTGATTGAATGAATGTAGTAGTAACTGAGTATGAAAGATGATTTGATACTGTTTTACGAGCACATTTCTAGTATTTATATATCAGAAGAACTTCTTCCATTTTCGACTTGAGATTACTGCTCTTGGCTATATTTCACTGCCATCATGATATTTTTGGAAAATACGATGACAAGATCATTGCATAAAACGAAAACGCTTACCAAATTTCACTCAACAGCGATCTCGGTACCAGCCTGTGGGATTGTCGATGGGTAAGGCATGCAAAAAAGAAGATATACTTTTCTTCGCCTTTAACACTAAGAGTCAAGCGGACTAACAATTCTGTCAAACAAACGAGGAAATTGGGAGGCGCTTGCAGAGCCACAATTATTTCGTGGTCGTTAAACTCTATCTCGTTCCCCTTTATGCGATGTGCAATACCTCGGATAATCTGCCAGAACTGTAGAAGGCTGTGCACACTTGTCGTACCACAATATAACCATTGCAAACTTTAATCTCTACCATGGGATTTTGAGTATGCCTTGAGTAGAGCAGGCCACGAGTTCGTAGGAGCTCGAGGAAAAGGTAGAATTATGGAGTTTGTATTAATTTACAAACTCCACCGAAAGCTATCTTCTCTTCTCATTGAACTTGCGTCTCGTCTTTTGGTTTATGCATGTTTGATAGGGGACATCTAGGCCATATCGCTAATATTGTAGATGATTGAAAATAGCACCTGGCTTTGATGATTGATGCCAATCGGATTAGCAGAATTTGTAAACTATAGTAAACTTCACATTTGCAATATAATATTTCGTGCAGCGGCCTCATGTAGAGCTATGATTGCGGGGTATATAGGTTCGTGTCATGTGTAAAGTATTCCATGGCCGTGTAATTGTTTTTGTTCGGCCGAAAAAAGTGTTATGTAGTTCATCTTATTGTTCTGATGCAGGGGGACAGGACAATAGTCGCTAAAGTCTTGGAAGTGTATTAGGATCATTGAAACATTGAGAAACCGCAAGTTCGGAACCGAGTCAAAATATGGAAAAGACCCAGGATACTAGAGCCTCGCAAGGTTATCCGCTTCTTCTTTTTCTTTTTCTACATCGTAGAGCGTAGCGAAGAAGCCTCCACGGCAGTGGCCCAGCGGAGCGTCATTCTTTGGACCTTTGTCGTTTACCATACCTAGACTAAAGAAGAGTTTGAATATAAGGTGGGTAGAATTTTCTTCATATTCTGTTCAGAATATCTCATTACTTGGAAGGATTGAAGACCTTGAAGTGAAAATTAAAAGTTTGGTTCCAATGACTTTATGCATGATATTGGAAAAGGGAAGGGACGGGACGATTCCAATCAAGATGAAGCGAGGAAAAGGGTTAAAGATTAGTCGTAGATTTCCGCAATATAAAAATAGAAAGGGATTACAATGAAATGATTGGATGGTTAGTTCCGCCTGAAGGATTAAGGGATCCCTACTTAACAAAATCAAGATTGAAGAGTGAATTTGCTATAAATAAGACATACACCCTAATCAATATGGAGTGTGAAGTTTGAATTTGCTATGAAGAACCATCAGCGATAAGCTCGCGATAAGAGAGCTCTCACTGACACTAAGCCATATTCTCATTAGCGTCGGTAGTAGATGGTATAAACACCCGACCATTTTCCAGCAGGGATTCATTATCGTCATGCGCATAGTAGCGAGCGAGGTGAGAGGTTCAAAGGCTCAGGTACCTCTGGATAGGAAGGATACTAGTAATCGGATTGGATTAGAGCCATAGACTTTGCTTCTCCCTCTCACACCCACTCTCTTCTTTTACTCTTTAGGAATGAAATGATTCAATTGTTCCACCCAAACTCTTTCTTGGTATATTACTTATCTATAAATCACATCGGCAACAATCGACTCAGCTATTGTGGTCAATAATCTTTCATGTTGGAACTTGTGCCGATATCTTGAAAATCCTCAAAACCCTTCTGCGTATTTTTATCCTCTTCTACTCTTTCCTCATTGTCCCTCATAATTACCCCCAAACAAATATAATTAACGGAAAACTCCTAAAGTAGGAAACATCACACTTCAGTCCTCATTCACTCCATCCTATTCACTTTCAATCAATATCCAGGCGTCGCAAAATATTCTGCTAGTCATGGCTATGAGTCCTTCTCCTCAAATGTCTCCCACAACATTCGGCAAACAACTTGAGAAACAAAGATCAAACTCTCCACCTCCGCATCAACTATCCAAAAGAGACAAACGTCGATCTGCCATGCAAGATAAACTGCATGAAATGACTGTTAGCTTTGCGTCAAATAGAGATCATCATTACCGCGACCAACTCAAAGGATTGCAAATCGACATGAATCTCATTCAGGAAGCTGACGTTCATGGCAAATACCCTCTCCCGGATGGCAATGAGGTGGAACCATTAGTTGTAGATGGTATCAAGAAAGTCAAAGGAATTGCTGGGCATCATCCATCTGCCGCGGGAAAAGAGTATGAATCTTTTGCAAGAGAAATCAACAACGCCATGGAAGAAAGGGACGTCGCATTAACTACGCATATGGTATGTGCAATTGCTTTCCTTGATTCTTTACTTTCTTTACGACGAGCTTAAAGCTAATGTTCTTTTTACAGAGAGACTACGAAGTTAAAGCAAATGAAATCGAATCCAGTTACGCCTATCGAATGCGACTCGCGGACTTGGAATACAAAGCTTTGATGTCAACCTTGAGAGATCGTTTGATCAATAAGCTCAATAGCAAGAAAGCCCACTTGTTGAAAGATAAAGAGTCAATTGAAATTGGAGAGAGCAATGCTTTACTTTTACACCCAAGCAAATTCGGTCTCGCTAACCCCGCTAGCCCTGGTGGGATGCATTCCAAAAGAGCTACAAGGCATCGTCGAGAAGCTGAAGAATTACCCAACATGTTTGATCACTCGAAACGGAAGAGAAAGGGAATTGATGGCGACGAATCCCCAGCTCCCTCACGGCAACGTATGGAAAATGGCGGTAATACTCCGTTAGGAACATATGAGCGCAATGGTAATACATCCGCACAACTCGAAGCACCAGCAAATAGTATAGAAGGTCTATTTACGGAGAAAGAGCTCGGAATGAAATACAACGAGGCAGCTCAAGCAGCGTATAGTTATATGGTTCGACATCCACCATACGAAGATGACACTAGTCCTCAAAATGGTAGATCCGATTCCAGTCCCGACACTGAAAAGATAAATGCAACATCTGGAGATGTCGAGAATGATGAATCAGATTCTCCTCAATCTGCACCTCAAATGGAACGTCAACCATCACACCAAACTAGGAGCACACGCGGTGGAGGAGTAAATTTCAATACAGGCACAGGAATTGATATTCTTAGTGATTTAGCATATCCTGGAAATATGGCAGCAATCACGAAACAAATCCCTAAATTACCACCACTTCTCGCCTCGAATATGCAGAAAGGATATGTGAAAGGAGATGCTGCCAATCAACCACAAGGATTGGCTCCCGATGAGATCAATGCTGAATTGGAAATTATCAGAAGGGGACGTACATATAATGATGAAAGGGGGTTTGGTAAAAATCTTGACTTGGAAAATGGTGGAAAAAGTCTTCTTGAAGCAGTCAGTACACCAAGAAGACCTCAAACCTATTATGTTAAAAGCGACAATAAAGGTACAATGCTCAGTAACTTGAGAGAAGAACTGGGTGCAGAAGCAATGTCAAAACAAAGTTCTAGAGGAGGTAGTGAAGTTGGAGGAACACCAATGTCAAGACAAAATACTGGTGATGGAACATCATCAAAAGCTGGTGGGCGAGGGAAGAAAAATCTTTTGATTTAAAAAGAAAAGTTTATTCTATTACTTTGTTTGATTAGGTGTACATTGTTGGTCAATTTTAGAGAGCGTTGGCGTTGGGGGATTAGGAATATCATGAGGAACATTAAATTCCGATTATCCATTCATGAGGTGGGATGAGATATGGGTATATTATATCATGGTTAATTGTTAGTTAATGACGAAGGGGAGTTTGTATTTAAGTGGTTTCGTCGTTTTTATAGCTACTTTTCTTTTTGAGAAAGATTGCATTTGAGATTAAAGTATTGAAGACGATTCGAATCTACTGATGTGTATTTATGTATCTATGTCTTGAACTATAAGTTTGATTTGGATATTCATTTTGGTCTAAACTTTAACATTTACTACCTGGGTAGATGTTGACTTGATTTAAAGTTGTAGAGTTAGATTTATAATATGATTATAGTATTGAATAAGTTATTATAGTATCTAGATAGTTAGGTAGATAGATAGAGAGGAAGATGATAAATAGATAGATAGCTCTAGAGATAATAGGAATGTAGATTGAAGATTGGAGATTGATATATTTCAATCTAGGGAATATATAGATTATAATAGTATAGATATATATATATATATATAGCTAGTAATAGAGAGAGAGAGAGAGAGAGAGATTTTCTATCTAGAGAGTTAGAAAAGTTATATATAATACTTTTGTATATATAATATAATATATTATTATAAGTACTAGGAACTAGATATATAAATATCTATTTAGTATTTCTAATATCTAAATAAATAGACTCTTTATATATAAGAATGTAAGAATCTAATATTTAATTCGAGTACTCTACTTTCTAATTACTTCTCTTTTATACTACCTTTCATCCTTAAAATTAACAAAAAAAAATTAGTTTATAAATAGAATTTATTAACAATTTATATATATATTTCAGATTATTTTAAGCTTATGCTGAAAATTTCAGATTTCTAGGAATTTTCTGAATGAAGATCTGAAGCTTTAAAATATTGATTTTTTAATTTATATAAGAATTATATATAAATTTTACTTTTTTTAAAAAAAATCTTTAATAACTTCCTAATGAAATTTATTAAAATAAACTATAAGTTTTGATTATAAACTTTTTAATTTATACTATTTACAATATAGAAGATTTAAAAAAATAGAATTTTTTTTATTAATAAATATTTATAAAAGTACTTTCGAAATTGTAGAGATTATTTTTCCCTATTTAATTTATATTCCTATAACTATATAGACACTATTAAAATTTTAATTTCTTTAATTTCTATGTAGACTTAAGCTTAAACACTTAGAAAAAGTAATTAGTTTCTTTTTATCAATTATA